CAGGTATTGACAAAGATTCGAAGGATACTTCATCAGAATCTCCCATTGATGAATGGCTACCCAGAAGAAATTCGAAAGAGAGAGTCGATGTAGCTGAAGCTTCAGAAAAATCTTGTTAGGATTTGGGGCCCCAAGCCTCCAAGCTCCCAGAGCTTCCAGAGCTAACTGACCTAGCAATCCCCGAAACATTCAAACTAGGAAGTCTATCTCGACAGGAGATTACGACATTTCATCGTCAAGGAGGGCGAATGCAAATGCCTTTGAAATCGAATCATTAGCCCAAGCAGAAACGGAGCAACTGCAAGTACAACCAGCAAAGAGAATCATATCCAGAAATAGAGAGCCGTCACATGTATATGAGGTATACAGGGTGTTTCATCGGGAAAGGTAAATAATTCAACTGTGGATAGGGGTCACTGGGGTGATTTCAAAAAACCCATGGTTGATGGGTCTTCGACTTCTTATAACCGAGATACAGGATGTTTCATCAGTTTTGTCCATATCTTCATTGTCTCATAACTTTCCAACCAACTTGTATATATTTTTAAAAATTGATACACTTGCTCAATCTACCCTGTGGGATTGATTGAGGCAACAACAAAAGATAAAATCCAGGTCCGGCTTCACTTGAAATTCACAGAAAACAACACCCTATACATTCGAATTTCTAATTTTTTCTGCCATATCTGGAAAGAACAAATTTCTATTCAACGATGTGCTCAAAATATTATTTTTGCTCATTTTGGTGTACAAAATTGGAATCAGACGGATTTATTGATTTCATTACTTCCTATACAGTATACGTGAGTATTACATTTAGAAGGAGTATTTCATATCGTTCTTTGTTCCAGACTTAGTTGCAGGTCCGTCATCAAAACTATACAGGGCTTCTCACGATGAGCGTTAATTTGACGTGTTTGGCAAATTGCAGGCAACGGATAAATCTGAAATTTTGATGGTATGTATAAATTAACATAATCTTCACTACTAAAATATTTGAAATGATCCGGCCTTGCCGCTTCTACTAGAAAGTAGCAGCAACTTCGATTTTTCAAATGGGACACCCTGTATTTCATTACATTCTTGGATTCTTGCTGAACAGCAGAATTCATCGATTCAAAACATTCAAGATCTAGCGGGACTGATAACTGAGATATAGGATGTGGAAAATCGAGATGTTTCAACTTTAGAAATGTTTTGTGTTGAAACTATTTATTATTTCATGGTCAGAACGGATTCAATGTCCCTATCTCAACTTTCCATTCAATATTCAATTGAAACAGATACAGGGTGGTGCAGAAATCTGAATTATGAACCATCCTGTATTTGTTTCGATTAAATGTCAATAGATACAAAGTTAAGATAGGGACATAAAAGCCGTTTTGATCAATAATAAATATTTTCGCAAAATAATTCTAAAGTTGAAACATCTCGATTTTTCTCACTCTAAATATCTCAGTTATTAGTCCCACTAGACCCCAAACTTTGCGAATCGATTAAATCAGCTCTTCAGGAAACATCCAGGATGTCCCATTTGAAAAATCAAAGTTACTGCTACTTTCGAGTAGAAGCGGCAACGCCGGATTGTTTCAAATATTTCAGACGTGTAGATCATGTTAATTTATACATACCTTCGAATTTTTAGATTTATCCGTTGCCTGGTTTGCCAGAAATATCTAATTTTAACGCTTATCGTGAAAAGCCCTGTATAGTTTTGATGACGGACCTGCAACTAAGTCTGGAACAAAGAACGATATGGAATACTCCTTCTGAATGTAATACTCACGTATACTGAATAGGAAATAATGAAATCAATAAATCTCGTCTGATTCCAATTTTGTACCCCAAAATGAGCAAAAATAATATTTTGAGCACATAATAGGAATAGTTAAAATCGTCTGTGCACGAATAAAAAGCACATCGTTGAATAGAAATTTTGTTGTTCTTTTCAGATATGGCAAATAAAATGAGAAATTCGAATGTATAGGGTGTTGTTTTCTGGCAGAAAGAATTTGTGAATTTTAAGTGAAGCCGGACCTGAATTTTATCTTTTGTTGTTGCCTCAATCAATTCCACAGAGTAGATTGAGCAAGTGTATCAATTTTCAAAAATATATACATGTTGGTTGGAAAGTTATGAGACAATGAAGATATGGACAAAATTGATGAAACATCCTGTATCTTGGTTATAAGAAGTCGAAGACCCATCAACCATGGGTTTTTTGAAATCACCTCAGTGACCCCTATCCACAGTTGAATTATTTACCTTCCCCAATGGAACATCCTGTATATTCAGCATAATTATTCAGGTCGTTCGAAGTTTTTCATTCAATAATGAAAATCATTACCTTGTGATGCAGTGGTTCTGGGTTGGCTCACCGCATATCCTCTCTAATCTTTTATTCAAGAGCCAAATCAAATTATGATACTTGCAATGCCAATATAATCTCTAGAGGAGATGGTTCAAATCAAGTCTCGATATTCGAATGCCTCCCATGTCCGGACCAATATGTGTCCAGAATATTTTTGTTTTCCAAACCTGATGGTTGAAATCGTCTAATTCCGAACTTGACAAGATTCGATGAATGAGTCAGTTGTCAACTTTCAAGTTGGGAGATCACAAAATAGTTTTGAGAATGATCACAAATATTTGTTTACTGACAACTGTGGACGTGAAGATTTCTTCCAATCTTGAATAGCCATAAGAAGTTCATCAGATTTCAAGGACCGGTCCTCACCTCTCAGACTAAACAGTGCCCCATGAGTTTTCACTAAACTGATAAAGCCAGTCCTAGCTCATATCAGATCCAGAGGTTTCCTTTCAGTTCTATATTCAGACGATTTCTTGTTCTATGGCAATAGTTACGAGGCATGCCTCAGGAATGTTCACTGTACAGACAACTCGCAATTTGAAGAGAATAATATCAGATGAATCATAAACATGAAAAAAATCATGGATGGATATACAAATGAATTAATTCATTGAGAATTCGCATTCTCTATGTGATGAATGTCAGAAAACAATTACTTTCCTGTCTATATTCTACGACAAACATTGAATTATGTCTATTGAACACACACGATAAGAATTCAAAAACTACATCTTCTAAGTTGGGAATATGTATTCTCCTCTAGATACTAAAATATATTTGCACATAACATCATCCTGGATATTCAACGGGAGACAACTACTCTCCTGGCTATTCGCCATGTCGAACTCTGTTGAACATTCAATGAGAGAGCATGAGAAATTAAGACCCTTCGAAATTGGTAACTGACAATCTCTCAAAACTGATAAATAATATGATGTATGATTGATGATATGAAAATATAACTTACCAATATGTTCAGTATTGAATTGAGAATTGAAATAAGTAGGAGAAGTTTACTTATATATACTCTGATCTTGATGAGCTCGGATTTTCCAAAACAATCATTCGTATCAGTGATATGGGAATAATATCTCTCCCAAACATATGTCTTCATCCGAATCAACTAATTGCGGATTTAAAATCCTCCTCAGTTAGCTGAAGTCCAGTTATCCTTCAGCATTCATCATGATATACACAATTTTCATCTCTCTATATCATGACTAGAACCATAACGGAACTGTCATCTGAGAATCATTGTTGACTTTCAATACCTGTCATTTGAACGATGGAAACTTGGTACTTTTGAAGACCTTCAATCGCAGATACGTTTCTCAGTTTATGAATACTTTCCACGTTCTGGATGATGGATACCAATTTGTCATAAGTACATCCTAAAACTTGCAATTTATTGAAAAAATAAGGCGTTCATCGTAAACCGAGCTGGAACCTGTACAAGTATGCAGATACTTGGGATTTGAGTATAGTTCACAATGAATGTCAATATCACTCTCACCCTAGAAGGTGGAATCAGTGAGCGAAATGATCCACAAAAAAAGTTTCAGTTAGCCCGAGCATAAAATATAGTTCGCTGTTTTTCAAGGAATTCGAACAATGTAAATATCTGGAAGATGCATGGTTCATTGAACTCATCCAGATTTGCATTGAGCCTGATTTTGTCACATGATATAACTCAAAATCACCCGATTGAACGCTTCTTCCGAGGTGTTTTCAGAAAAAGCCCCTCTCGGCCAAAATATCACATAACTTAGGATCCTTGCCTTGTTTCAGATCATCTTGGTTCTTCTCTATTCTCAAATTAGTCTTTGAGCTTGGAGTTGTTAACGCATGAGCTAGCTACACTCTCAGCAATCGTTATGGCTCACCAGATACAGAGATTATATGTTGATATAACAGTTCCAGAAAATAGTACTGAAATAAAAATTCACGAATAAATGAAGACAGCCGGATACAATAGATATCAACCATCATTACAATTGATTTCTTCAGAGAAATAATATGAGCAGCAACAATACTGCAATGTTATATAGATGAAACTGAACCTTGACGCATGGCAAATCCTTTTGTTCTTTTTATGTGTTGAAGGAAACCGCATGGAAAAGCATCTGCACAGTCAATTAGCAGATGGATTGAAGATTCCTCAACCAATAGAGGACTATATAGCACTATTTTTTTCGGCATATAGCACCAGACATGCTTCGACGTCTGTTGCAGCTAGGGAAGGGGTGTCATTGGACGTTATCAGTAACACAGCTGGTTGGTCCAAAAGCTCAAAAACTTTTGTTATTTCTATAACAGATCCATTTCAAATGAACCATTATTATCTGCATCGATTGTTTATACCAAAGGTTGATTACATTTTCTCTTAGTTGCTTGTTATTCAACTATTCAGGGATTTATTAGGGTTACTTACTTGACAAATCCACTAGATTATTAAGATTATTCGTTTGTTTTGATCCTTATGTATTCATATCTTTGTACAATAATTCGGTTCATTTTGTCGGCTTAACAATATCATGTTATGAATATTCATTTCATCTACTTTGAACATCTACCATTGTGATCGGGAAGACGAGGCGCGGATTATGATTCAAGAATCGAATAAACAAACCTGAAGTGTTTTTCAAGTTCAATTATATGTATCGCCTCGTAAAAAGATGCTATTCCATTGATCAGTTGCAACTCACCGCTCTAGAATAAGTAATGAAGCAAGAAACACAAGGGACACAGGATGTCATGATCAGATAGAGTAGTTTTTCAATTCAAAATAGTGGCGACATCTAACGGAAAGTGGAGGTACTACCATTGTGATCTTTTCGACGACCAAATGGAATTGGACTATAATCGAACTCCACCACAGTTGAGTTCGTTCGATTATTGAATTATTTCACTATCAGAGATAAGGAAAAGGAATAGAATCGATAGTAGTGATACTTTGTATGGCAAATGTTTGAGAGAGATAAATATAAATTATACACATGTATATTGGGAATGAAAATCTGCACTCGTGATGAATTGTTCTTAGCAAATATGTTCCGTTCTCAATAATTGACATAACTTACTTATTACTTGAACTGCGATTTGCTGAATGATTTCGAGCAGAATATCGAGGCACCGTTATCTTCATACTTCATCAACCCTACTGAAACAATGTGTTTCACTCCATGCTCAGTGATAGAGGAAATATCAGATGAAGTCCCACCAAAAAAACAGGAACGCGATTACATGAGAGTCAATTCAGTCAAGCATCTATATTCGATGTACAGACACGGTCTAGTCACAACAAATCATTGTACCGTGTACATGATTCAGAATCATATATGATATTATCGACATAGGAGACTGGTGTGGATCTTTGGATGCAATGAAACTGTACTTGTACTGGAATGGTAGGAGAATGAAACATACCTGCAAAGGTGTGACATCCTGAGGGATACCAGGATGAGGTGGATAGAGCTGAACTAGACACATGATGGCTTCGTTGCAGAATTTGAGGCCCATGACTTCTTCGTCCTCTCTGCCGTATCTGAAATGAAGATAATGATACTCACTTATACAAATGAAAACAGAACTAACTAAGATATTCATGATTGAATTCGATATTCTGTAGTGATAATTTCTGATAACTTTATCTTCATTCTTGTTCATATTGAAATTGAAAATTTCACTCAGGATGAGATATTTTCAGACTATATATGGAATGAATAAAGTACCTACTCTAGAGGCAACAAAATTATACCATCTGGAATCAGTATGAGCAAGTAGGTGCGTATTTCATTCAACTCAAATATGGAAATTGACACATTGTACGGAGTAGGTATATATGAAATATATAAAAGTACTAAGAAATCTAAAGAAAAGTGCTGCTACCGAAGCGAGATTGTCTTGTTGCCTGCAAAGACATTTGGTCATCTTAATCCTAAATATATATCATGACTACATATTAATCATAAGTTTCGTTTATGTCAGATGAGATAGCAAGAATGATGAGGTATCGAAAAAGAGAGTAAAGAAAAGAAAAGAAGAGAAGGAGGAGGGGTACAGAGATACGATCAGAGATCTTCAAGAACGCGTTCATCTGTCCAGAATCAAGATCAGCATTTCGTAATTGTATTTCACAAATATTTTCAATTCTGTTCTGGATTCTGATTTATTCTCATATGTTTCAGTGATGTAGGTACTGCATTATACAGGGTGGTTCACGGTGGATGGCACATTAGACATTTCTGAAGAACGCAACTTATTCTGAAAAGTTGATGCCTTGGATAATTAGTTGTGTTCTATCGACCATAAATACTTTCAGCGTTCGCGACGTTGCCGCTCCCATTGAAAAGTAGCAACGACTCGAATTTTTTTCAACGAAACACCCTGTATATCATTCCATTTCCAGATTCTACCTGAAGAGATGATTTCATCGATCTTGGGATCTAGCGAGGATGATAACTAAGATATATAGGATGTGAAAAATCGAGATTTCTCAACTTTGAGAATTCTCATGTCCTTATCTAGACTTTCCATGTACTATCAATTGATATTCAATTCAAATAGCTACAGAGTGGTCTAGAATCTTGAATATGAATCAATTACTCAAATCGAATCTGTAAGGTATAATAATCTCATGAGTTGCAACAGTTCTGTAATCTCTCACGATTCAACAGTATACAAAACTGCATTAGCCAGAATACGTTAGTACTCATAGGAACTGAAATAAGTACCTACTACTTGAATCCTAAATTCAGCCCTACTGTGGCTTCAAACGGAAATACAAGGTGGATATTTGGTACGCAAGGTGTGATATAAATTTCGGAAAATATATCCAGGTCCCATGGAATATCATCAGCGCTTCTATTCCCTTTCTCAAAAAATCAGAAGTTGGAGTCCATTTTCACATCAGGTTCGTGGCAGAAAGTATGTGAAAATTTTACTCACAGTGGTCCATTCCCATAAGTGGATCAAAGCTTCCACCAACAAATCTCCAGACAGTATTGAGTAACTCATTGGTTGAGCATCCATCATGAAAATACAAAATTTGGAGGAACTTCAGTAGTGAGTAATATAATTTCTTCATGAGCATAAGTTCAGGAAATTATTTCTCATCAAGAAACATCCCAACAGGAACGAGTAACCATAGTATTGCATCGATAGCAATAATGTTCAAAATAACAATGTCATAAATGAACATTGTTCACCATCATAAAGGCGTCGTGTTTGGAAACCACACGACTGTACCAGAATGGCGTAAACCAAGAAGGCCTGAAAATAATTCATCATGATGCATGGTGTTCTCGATGAATTTTGTTATTGTTAGATAGATAACTCATTGGTTGAGCATCCATTTTGTTATTGTTTGATAGATGGAATTCATTGCATTTCATTGTTAAATCATCCAGTAGAAACTTGCCTGAAGTTGGTGATCGGCCTTCATTGGTAACACTCCCATCATTATGCTCAATAGCACGAATTTTGCGTGGTCTCTCAGCAAATTTGGCATTAGAGATTGAGTAGGTCACTCCTCGTTCTTCTAGGAGGTATAGTGACTTGATAAATAGTGATGACATTAGTGGTACACTTCCTGATTGATCAGACCTTCAATATGGAGGTGCATTCACCTGTTTTGATTTCTCCATTCAGTTCGACGTATTCTATTTTATTTTGTCAATGCTTTGTCTCTGTTTTCTGCTCTTTGGACACATAACTTCCAATGATCAGACATGAAACTATATACATCAATGCATTGGGAATCAAGTATCAGCATCCGTCATTTGAAACTCGTAAGTTTCAGATTAATTAGATGATGAAATGAGAATATAAAATATTCGAACCTAACACCAGCTGACCACTTCGCCGGCGTAAATTCATTACTGCATTAGGGAAAACAGCTTACCAACAACGCAGTCCTTTCAAAAAAAGATCGAAAGTTGAAAAAATTATCGGTTATATTTTCATCACGACACTGTTGACACATTCGTAATATTCACATACAAATGCCATCAGTTTCATATCGTCGGTGTAATTAGCAATGTGCGTAACTCCAATATTGGGTCAAAATGACATTTTTGTGCCATCTGTTGGGAAAAAATTCAACGAATATGTTGGAAAACGGTCAATCTCCAAATAAATTTCTCCAGCAGAATAAACTCAATAAAGAAAAAGTCGTAACTCCAACGCGCCATTTTATGTTCGGCAATATTCGTATCTCCTTGTCTACTGTTCACATGTTCGGCAAAACATCATCAACTTCTGGTTTATTATAGTGAAAAAATATGCAATCTCACATTGGAAAAGGTAATTAAAACATTTATACTGAATGATGCATGCTTGTTAATGATCAATATCAATAAAAATCAATTGAAATTGGGTTTATAATCGTTATCATGGAGTTACGAATTTTTCGCTCTCATCCAAATGATTCGAATCTTGGAGTTGAGTCATTCAGTTTTATTGCTCTCCTGAAAAGTTAGTCATTGTGGAGTTACGCACTTTGCTAATTACACCGACGATATAACGGATGTGTCATATATAAATTTCCTCAAATTGACTCCTTTGTCCTGTAAATTGTAGATAAGAAACTAACATATTCTTATTTCTCTTGAATTCACGGCAATATTCTACATAACAGCGATATCACATTTACATATCAGTTATATAACATCTTCGTAACTGATATAACGTTCATATAATATCTAGGATATTATGTCAATTCTATATGAATCCATTCACAACTAATTCATCTTCAACAAACAGACGTGACATTGACCAATCAAATTGCAGTATTTCTCAAGTTCTCACGAACGAAATACGAACGGTAGGCAATCAAACTTGACTCGATCAATAATGATAATTTTGAGAGATGCTTGGCTTTGGCAGCCACTTTATCATACGAATTTGAAGTTCAAGTATTATATGAGTATAGTCGAAGAGGACATATAAAGGTGGAAAACTCATCTTCTGAGAACATTTCACTGTAGGTTCGTGAATTTCCACTTTCTATAATGTTTTTTCTGTTCTAAGGAGTAATAATTATAGTCTTGTTATTATTTTTCATTTATATTCACAGATGTATGAAAGTTATCTTGCAATTATATAAGTGAGACCTTAATGTTATCTGAATTCTGACGTAACATCGACTACTCATTGATGTAACAATAATACAACTAGTATTACATAGAAGTGATGTAACATATGATGTTATGTGATGCGGACATTCTGCACAGTAAATTTATGGAATTTGAACCTTCTTATCACCTCTTTTGTTACATAACTGATTAACGAAATTATGTGATGTTCAGACGTTATTAATTGTTTTCTGGGGATGTATTGGAATAACCGATAATTTTGCGAGAATGCGTGTTATCTAAAAATTGCAAGGGTTTTTATATTCTGGCAGAAGGGTCCGATTCCTAAGAAAAATGGGAATAAAGCATTGAAATTGGTTGAAACTACGAAAACGTCACATAATCAGAAAGATTTGTCTTCCTGCTAATCAATTAGCTTGCTTGACGAAAATTTGATCGATGAAGTCACGGTTATTTTTGCTTTAAGAAGGATTTCTCCGACGCCGCAATTTTCAAAAAAACATGCACTTGCGATATGTTTCTGGAAATGGGAGGTTTTGCTTCATCAATCAAATCGCATAATGATATTTCTAGGGTTCAATTTGGAATTCTCGACCTAGGTCAATTTTCTGTGAAATCGAAAGTGATATTCAATTATTTCTCCATGGGGAATATAGGTTCCGAAATACTTCCCCTTTCTTATAGATATCAAATGTGTAACATGAAACATAACTGAAGGACACCTTGTCCAATGATTTCGTTGTCACCTGATATATAAGACAGAAACTGATGAAGATGAAGTGGTACCTAGATATATTTGAAAAGATAAACCGGAGGTCAGTCCCATAGGGCTTTCGGATTATTTGCTTTTCACATGTATATCAATGTCGCACCTGCCCGTTGTTTTGTTCTCCCTCATCTAGACGAAAACCTTGCTAATAGTATAGAGGAGCTGGCTGCAGATATTTTTTCTCATCTGATAACGAAATGATATATGTCTCAAAAGAAAATAATAAACATTGTAGTTCATCGAACGGCACCTGTGCCAATCACTATCCTCGGCGAAATTGTGAAAATATTGAATTTTTTTTGTGCAGCAAGAACTCGATTTCGCGAATTGAAAACGTGATAAGATTTATGCCATCCAATCGAATGGTGAATTTAAAAAACATACCTGTGCCCCCCCTCATTCAGAGTCGAATCCACGGCACAGCGATTCATTTGCTACTATTATTCCGGAAAAAATGTCTCTTTTGCAAATATCCAGATGTGTCGCGATTCAAACTGATCAAAGTAAGTGGCAGAGCGTCAAAATTTTCGTGATTATTTCATTCACACCTGGCTGGACACATGGAATGTCATGATTGAAGTCACAAAAAAGCTCCCCTGCTTCCTAAGCAATCCAGTTTGCATAATCACAATACACGCAACAGTGATCTTATCAGACCTCAGCGTTACAAACTCATCAAAT